GTGTAGTAGTGCCTAGAGAGGCATTCGTCTACAGCCCCAGCATAGTCCAACTGGGGCAAAAAGGACAATAAGGGTTTTAACTTGAAACTCTCGGAGTGGCCCACCTATGAATGCTAGAATGGTCCGTTCGTTTTTGGTAAACAGATTCTCGCATGTAAATAGGCCAATTTTTAAAACAGACTTCAAATGCTGAAATGCAAGGGAGGTTCGTCCTCCACCGGGGCAATTCAAACAGCAACGCCCCTTGTTCAGCAGCCGTGGACAATACTACATCAGGATTTTAACCTCTGCTTTAAGGGTTTGCCAATCCCCGGAAACAATGCTTTTGTATAACCAAGTGGTGTTTACCTTAAATAATTCACTGAAACAAGAGAGCGGCCTGAATTTTGCATCGGTTTAATGCTTGTTATCAATCTTGCTTGAGTAAGCTGTCAAATTTAATAAATGGACTTCGTACGACCCGAACTGCTGGGAAACGACACTCCAAAAATCAAGCATTGCCAAAGATGAAAAATAAGCGCTTTATGATTTCGTGGCACGTTAAGTTAGCAAATTGAGTAAAATAAGCCTGAAGCTAGAAAATTTACGCAGCACAATTCAGCCTCCCAGTCCGCCATGCCAGGCACGTCCATTATTCATAAGGAACAAACACAATCTACTAGGAACCAGCATGTCACCCTGTGCCAGAAATAAAATTCTCTACTAGGAAAATGGCAATTTTCCCCGAATTCAACCTCGTTGTTTAACACGTACACTTGTAAAGTTAGTAAAATTCACTAAAAATCGGCCACTCTCACGAGCTACTAGGCAATTTAGCTGTATTACAATCACCTTAAAATGGTAGCGGGAATCGACTCCACTTCAAACTGCCTAAATTAATTCAACTTGAAGGCTTATTCCCCGGCAGGCTTACCACATGGAGGGCCGCCCATCGATGCGTACCCCCGATAAGTGGGTAAATTGAAACGTAAATAGGATGCCTAACCGCTCTGGTATCCCCATCCCATCCTTATTAGGGTCAAGGTGAAGGACACATACGCACCTCCCAACTTCAGTCGACACTAGAAGTACTTAAAAAAAGACAAGTGTCAGTGTGCTTATTCACCAATTGCATTATAACAGAAAATGCCGTGAATCGGAAACCAAAGTAGCCAAAGCTAAAAGGGTAGGCGCCCTCGTTATCTGACCTGAGGGTGGGTGCATAAGCGACCGCACTTTCCTTTAACGAATTTTGGAAAACCACTTAGCCTAAAGCCGAACCAGAACAATGAGGTACTGCGATAGCCACACATATTACATACACACTCCAATCCATTTTAACATTACACGTACACAAAAAGCCCACTTTAAAATGTCACTACGTGTGAAAACTACCGCTGTCACATCGCGTGTCAACTGCATTACTCGGTCCAAAGATTGCTCCAGCAAATACTCGACTATCTCAGTGAACACAAGAGAGATTCTTTTTCACATACTCTTCTTTCTCCGCACCAGTAGGTGCGCAGTTTACTATTTTGGGAGTAACGGTCTTGCCTTTCGAAGGGCAAACTTATAACACTAGGAGCATAAACACCTGGAAATGTGCATGTTACCATTGCAGAATATTCAACTACCACAAATTTTAGGTCCACAATAGTAAAGCCGAACTAAGGGACTGAAATGCACAGCATAGGAAATTCCCTAATTCAATGAGTATTTTGCCACCTTGCAATTTAACTTGACTAAACTACATGAACACCGACTGGATCGCTGTTTTCGCAATTGCACATCAAATCACTAGCACCTAGGTAACAAGTCAAATTCGGCACTGCAGATATTTTAACAAAGGTTTAATCAATTATCACAAGTTTGAATGTAGATATTAAGGGTAATTGGGCATGAATAGCCTGCCTAACGAAAGCAAGTGACGTGAATTCTTAGGAATATAAAAAAATGTAAAAGCAACTGATTGCTTTAGACCGCATTTTAAATTAAGATGGTACGCCTGACAACTTTGACACGAAATTGTTTCTGTCAGATGGCACGAACAGGCCACCAGAGCATAGTTTAGGAATAAAAGAGACAATACTTTTTGGTAACGCATTAAAATAGCATCCCTGATGCAGTAAGGTGTTTTGCGACTACGAACTCAACGAGAGTGAAGCGTTTGGTACTCCCCCGGCCGTTGCCGAAATCCAACTACGTACCCATACTGAGACGCGGGTCAAACGGACGCAGTTAGGGGTGTAAGCTTAATTCAACACACCATATAAGAACAATACAGTTAGATCGGTACGCGACACGGGGGACACCTCGACTCCATTTTCAATTTGAGATTTTTCTGAAACTGATTTCCCCTGAATCACAAGAAGCCTCAAACAAAACCACTGATTGTAACTGCAAATCCTAATCCCACTTACACGAGTTAAACTGTGGAACGCACTGGCTACAATTCAACGCATGGGCATTACCAAATCACCGGTATCGGCCCAAGAGCATGAGTATGACCGTTTTCACAATTCTCGCTCCCACCAAATACGCCTCATGGTAAATGCCAACACTTCATATCCTGCATAAAAACCGCTAAAAACGCCTTAACCGAAGAAGCAAATCAAACACTCTTTCCTGCGGCCATGTTACTGGTTGATCCGTCATCAGGCACAGCTCGGACGGCTATCAAACAACTGTTCACTCAAATGCGGAAGACCAAAAGGCACGAATGAACAGTGTGATATGAGCTAGGCTGCAACAGAGCTTACTTTTAGGAACAGTGGCCCAATGTAGTCGATGACCCTTTCTGCAGCCACCAAATGAAATACGCGTATGACGAATTTGATCCCAAATACACGCTGTGGTGCATCCTTAATTGGTCTAACCACTTTCATCCAAATACGACCTTAGCAACTATGGGCGTGCACGCACTAGAGCCCTCTAATAAGTCCTCCAGAAAGCACATAGGATTAACTGGCGACCCAGCGGGGAATACCACTTTTGCGCTTTCACCACCAACACATTCTCAAGTTGCAAATTAAAAAGTTGCATTAGTCTGCTTTACTACTTGTTGAGGGGCGTGCTGGGTTTACACATTTTAAAGTAATCAAACTGCTGTAATAACACCGATAAAGAACTTTGAGATAGCTTTTGCATTATTTTGCGAGCTTGTAAGACAGCAGAAAACCTACCCAATAAAAGTCATTAGGGCTGACATTAAATTCACTTTTCTAAAACACCGTAAACTCCTATGACAAATAAAAGGCCAATCCTTACTTACACAACTCTCCATTTCATTAAGAATAATATCTATACCAAATGCCGACAAATACCACCAGTGGACGGCTTACATTTCAGGACTGTTTTCGTTTCGTAAATGATGATTTTCCGCGTGCATATTCGGACATCAGGACAGGAATCGAGCAGATGTAAACTCGGCGACATTCACACAAACAGAAGGGAAGGGAGTGTGGTGTGTGCATTCGCTCTCCGTAAACTCCCCTTATGCACACAATCACTCAAATAGACAAAAAGGCGCGCACTAAAATCAAACAATGGCGTTAGGAGTACCCTCTTCCTACCAGAACAATGAAGCAGTTAAACGAAGCCTCAGCGCAACCTTAGCGGTGAAAATGGGCTGTCGAACGACATGCTGATTTCAGTCATGATTTGGCGACGCAACTAACAAGTTTGACCTGGTTCCCATTTCGCATTCCTCGAAAGCAAGGACCAATTCCCAAAAACACGTTCCCCCAGTTTATTCGCAACCCTAGGCATCAAATGCAGAGACAACTGCATCGAATGTGCAGACGGGCCCGATGTTTCATAAATGCAGTAGCAATCCCCGTTCCCTCTAGGTAAATCAAGTCATGTAAGGAAGTAGGTTCAAGTGCATATCCTGAGCGATTTTCTCAATGGGAAAGTAGTAGAAGGCTGCCTTAGATGTCTTGCGTTACAAGATAAATTAACAAAGTACTAGCCAAATCTAATAATCCTACAAAATTACTCCCAAAAACTTGAATACAATCATAGGAAACTGATACCCGACAAAGTCGCACAATTTAATTCCAACCATAAGCAGATATATGGGCGGCACTACTTATTTCATGCAAAACAAAAAACTATCTGAAAGCATCACCGTAATCCACCGAGCACCAACCAATTAAACTGTGAAAAGCCCAGACTACTATACGGTTCTTGTGCCCCCAAATCCCCTTTCAATCAACAGACCTGGATAAACAAGTTATGACATCGCAATCGCGGTAGTCCGGCTAACACCTCTTCCCTCTGTTAGGAAAAATCAATGACAAACGCCGAATGAAGCCGAGCTGTAGTCGCTCTCACACCGAGACCTAACTCTGAACACTCCTGACAAACACTCATATTATTAAACAATCTAATCGCCAAACGTAACCCCATACGCGAAGGGTAGATCGCGACATTTGGTGCACGGTTGCCATGTCCCACTAGCGTTACCGACCCATAGGCGAGTTTTCGGCTGCTGGGCTCAAAGATCCGCTTGGATCCCAAACTGCAGGAAAAGTTACATAAAAGCACTGAAAAAGTGTAGAGCATCTTCCAGCCCCAGACCAGTCATCACTCATCCAGAACTTATTATCGCAAACTGTTAATCAGGCATGTTGACATTACTGTAAAACCTGTGCTGAAGTACATGCCTGATTCAAAGAGCTTCAGGTTGCGACCACAGAATTGTAGGGAACATTTGCGTTACACCGCAAATCTCCAGGTCATGCGTGTACCCACATTAGAAAAACACCCTGCATCACAAGCGTTTTTTGTCAATAAAAAAGCTATTTAATGAAGTGTGTCAAAAATTTCGGACAATTCAGTCAGGTAAATCGTGTCAATCATACTAAAAAAATACTCCAATCACAAAACTCGCATGCAAGCCCTACACTTATTCACACTAGCAAGATGTCGTTTAAACTAAAAATGGGCTATTAAAATAAAATCTTACCGGGAAAAAAACATCGACACACCTAAAAAAGGGAAAACAACTTCGGCGTCTGCTACTGTTGGTGGATACGAACAGAGAGGCTATTGTTGAAGAGCCGAAACATGTTGGTTTCATGCGCTGCTCGCTCCGCGTCTCCAAAGCAGCCAAAAGAAATTAGCGCCTCGCCCATCTGATTTCCACGGTGGTCACGGCGGAAACGAAGCGAACCCGGGAGGGGACGGAATGGCCGAAAGACGTCCAGTACCGCATTAGGAGGGCAGTTGGGTGGGAGATTGGATATGTGCACGCTAACGGCCACCGGAGGACCGGGCCTACGGAATTGTGGTGGTGGAGGACCAGGCGGCGGGAAGGGCGGTCTGGGATGTGCCCCCCTTGGTGGTGTAGGAAGAGGCGGTTGAGGAGGATGATGGTAACGAGACGCAGTCGGCCTGGACTCGCCGCGATCACTATCAGTGGTTTGCGATTTTGTTTGGCTCTCGGTATCCTGAAGCTTTTGTTCAAATTCTGCCTTTGATATGGCACGCATACAAAGGTTCCGATGCACTTTCTTAAGCTCACTTTCTGCAGCCGAAAAGTCGCGCAAAGCCGTCTTGCAACTGTCCTCGTTAATGAAATCGATTACTGCAGCGCGACTGCTTGACAACAGATGAATAGAATCGCCCGGGATGAACACACTGGGGAAGATTTTTGAAATCTCAAAGATTGTCATATTCCGCGAAAAACCGTAAATAAAGCAACAAGTTTTGGCTGCTGCCGGAATTTCTGGAGTTGCTTGTTTAGTTACGCCATCTGTCTGTTTGGATTGGGGAGATCTGGGCACCGAATGAACAAATTGCATGGCAGAAATTGCCATAAGCTTAACGTTTTGCGCCTGATTTCGGCTAAAAGGACGCGGTGGTGCGCCCAGGAGGATGTCCAAGTCACGGGCAGAGGGGAGACGAACTAAGGCCACAGCGGACCCCCGAGGCCCACTCTGCACAATCTTGACATTCTCTTCACTGAGTCCCGGTACACCAAGGAAACTAACAATATCCCTCTCGGTAACATCGCTTGGGATCTCGGAGATTTCAATGCATCCCTCGCTGTAGTAGTTTGGCTTTGTGGAGGCTCTTGGCGGAATCCTTTCAAGGAGAGCCGGAGGACACCTACTCTGGAAACTGCTGTCGGTAACCTTGAAGTATTCTTCCGCCGAAGAGTTGACCACTAGAACTTTAGCACCACGGAAAACATTACCGTCGCACGCTAAAGCCCGATGATGTGATTGAGGACAAGTGACCATACAGTAGACGTTCCCAGTGTATCGTTTTAGAGCGTCTTCCTCCACCCTAATACCAAACTTGGGAACAATATTTACACCGCGGAGAAGATCAAAAACACTTTTTACCGTGACATCTGAAGGACGCATGGAAACCTTTACAACGAAGTCCAGACATGGTACCTCCGAACTTTGTGGCTGAATTTCCTCCTGCCGGTAACGTTTATAGGGAGCTGCATCAATGCCAGCAGAGTCAGGAGGACCCGATCTTTTGGCATAATGACTATCTTCATCTCTGAGCCAGGGCGGCCTAACTGAAAAATCACGTTCACCATTTGGGAACATAGGGGCATTTTCGCGATAATAGCCCGATTCTTCGTAGTGCATGTCGCCTTCATAACCGTTACCATAACCGTAGTAACCGTCTCCCGTCGGCGGTGGTGGTCGATCCTCGTAGGCTCCATTGTAGCCGCTGTATCCATCGCCGCCGCCCTTATGAGGTGGAAAAACCCCATCACTCCCCTGCGACTCCGACGGTCTCGGTGGGCGACTTTGTTCCTTGCTATAGCCACTGTACCCCAGTTGATTCCCATCATGATCATTGCCCCAGATCTCAGAGCGATCGTAACCGTGACCATATGCAGTATCTGAATGAGATTCAGGTCCTTTATCGGACGGAACCTGGTGAGGAGCATGGGATGATGACTGGGCATACGGTCCACCGGTAGAGCTGATGCCGGGCGGACCAGAGGGACGCGTGTAGGACTGAGAATGAGCAGAAATAGTGTGAGAAGATGGGTTATACTGACCAGGAGGTCTTGAAACGGTTTCTTGAGCGGTGGGAGGCTGTTGAGATGCCATGATTACAGAACAACGAGCTGTCTCTATGACAGACTGCATCTCAGCCTTACTGCTGAGAAATAAGCGAATCTGAGCAGAGTTGATATACTGGTGATCCAAAAGCATCGCCTTTCGAGCATCTTCGTCGGTAGCAAATGCTATAAATGCATCGCCTTTCTCTCCGCCAACAATGTGTACGCCCCCCTCCGGAATATTTAAACCACCAAAAAAGCGACGAATATTCGACGCATTCGCCGTCATTGGCAGATTTTGCAAGCGGATAATGACGGAAGTCATCTAGAAAAGCAATCGTAAAACATACCCACGAACCTTAGACGACGGACCCCGATACCGAAACGCTGAATGACTGAAACAAACAATCCAAATCAGTTCAATCTGCAAAGTTGTATTGTCAAATTTAATGACAAGTTTTCTGTATCAAGACGTTATTAAACTAAACTTAAAATTTTACCTAAAAACTTAATTAATTTTTAAACCGAGGAAATTTTATGTCTAAAATTGTTAGTTGGGTTTTTACTTACACACAAGTTCTATGCTTTAATCGCGCTTTTATTAACAATTTTTACTTTAGTGTGTATCTTTTACTTGCAATGTATTACTTTTTCAGAAGATACGGCACAGCACAATAGTCTTTCATGCATGCATCTTTGCTCTATATTCTCAATTATATTGGAGAAAAATTCTATGGTAAATATTTAGTTACCACTGATGAGAAACCAAATGACGCTGACCTAGGCTTCACACAGAATTAATATAGTACATACGGATTTTCCTTGATATAGCAGAAAACGATATAAATGTATGTGAAGACTAATTTTTAAAGTACGAAGTGGTTTGGGGGTTAGTGACATGACTCTAGGGTCACACTGTCCAAGGAAATATTAGCCTTGGTGGATTAATCATTCAACGTAGCTAAATATGCACGCAAATAATAAGTCTAACAATGTTTTCTTCCGGATTTTAACAAAATCTACTTGTCCGGCGACCCCTCCGTATCAGCAAAGATGATTCTGCATGGCATGTTTCTTACAACAGCTAAGATCAAGTGTAGTCTTGGGCTGTATTAGTGGCTACAATTCAAACCTTTGGTAAAAGCATCCGATTAGCAGTAACCAGTTTTTCGAAGCGTAAGTGTTCTTTGTTGGTTCAGAGTAAACCCTGCACGGATGGCAATGAGATCATGATCAAGACGCTACATTCGATGAAAGGACTTGAGGTCTGGGACATCCATCAACTAGTAGATGCGAATTCGGGGAAAGGCATGCAGTTTTCCGAAGCACTTTCCCAGCATCCAAAGTGCTTCTGCATAGCCTTCTTGTGACTCAAGGACTGTTTGGCGCCGAATGACTTTAGAAGCCTTGTTTTCGTCAGCCAAAATGAAGTACTCTATCAGGCAAACAAGAGTGTTCATGCATTTATCTAAACCTTTTTTTTTGAGTTAATGCCAAACGAATTTGTGCTGGTAGTGAATAAAGGGCTTCAAACAACTTTTAAGACTTTTTGGATTCGGCTGTACTGGTGCATTTTGAGGTTCCCTTTGGCGACAGCTCGCTTAGAGGGATAGGCACCAAGGCAGACAACGAATCGATGTAAGTTCAGCCAGCATCTAGCCGGTCTGACGGATACGGTGTAGGCGGACGAGTTACATTATCGAGCATAATGGAATTTCCTTCTTACTCTTTCAAATTCCCAATTTCCTTTAGAATTCTACTCTTTATAATGCCTTCAACTCTACTTCATTTTACTTTTCAAGAAGACTCTTGATAAATGTAAATTTTACAAATGGCGATCATTTGGGTTGGTAAAGTGTAGCGCCGACATTATGCTCAGAAGCTGGACGGCACACAGGCTATCTGATTGAGCAATTCCACAGACAAGTAGTTGGCCGTAGCTTCAACAACTCGCTCCTCAATCTATTTCATTACTTTATTTGTATAATAATCATGAATTAGGGAGCTATTCTCCGCCAAAGGCAACCTCCACACAATAAAAGTAATAAAACAAGGTAAAGCATGAAGTTGGAAATTTGAATGGAGGCATCCATTATGCGCCACACCCTGATTTCGTTAGGCATTTCACGATGTAAAATTGAGCATCATAAATGTTGTGAGCAAAAAGATCAAGCACTTGGACTTATTCAATGAGACAACTATACCATGTGTATGCAAGCTCTCGAGCATGACAGACTTGCAGTACTTCCATTTCAAATCAACTACCACGGCAAAATATTTCCACCTTCGATCTCCTACATTTAACTTTGTGGAAGTAGAATGAGGAAGAATATGGGGTGCTGACTAGGGTCGGTGAAGCAGGCGTTGGCAACTTAATGAGATGATTGCCTCAAATTACTAGACTCATACCAAAAGAGGCTATTCACTTGACACCATTAGTTAGGTGTTGTTGACAGGCTAAGCACTTACCAATTTGGGGGTGAATTCTTGGATAGGTGCAGGAGAAACATTTTGGT